GTGCCCCTAACCACAATCTTCAACACATCCCTTGAAACTGGGCAACTACCTGAGAAATGGAAGACAGCAGATGTAGTCCCAATATTTAAGAAAGTAAACAGAAACGAGGCACTAAACTACAGACCTGTGTCTCTGACATGTATAGTATGCAAAGTCATGGAGAAGATTATCAGGAGGAGAGTGGTCGAACGCCTGGAATGGAACAAGATTATAAATGAAAACCAGCATGGGTTCATGGAAGGCAAATCCTGTGTCACAAACCTTCTGGAGTTTTATGACAAGGTAACAGAAGTAAGACACGAGAGAGAGGGGTGGGTTGATTGCATTTTCCTGGACTGCAGGAAGGCCTCTGACAGTTCCTCACAAGAGATTAGTGCAGAAGCTGGAGGATCAGGCGCATATAACAAGGAGGGCAATGCAATGGATCAGGGAATACCTGACAGGGAGACAACAACGAGTCATGGTACGTGAAGAGGTATCAGTGGGCGCCTGTGACGAGCGGGGTCCCACAGGGGTCAGTTCTAGGACCAGTGCTATTTTTTATATATGCGAACGACATAATGGAAGGAATAGACTCTGAACTGTCCCTATTCGCAGATGATGTGAAGTTGATGAGAAGAATTAATTAAATCGGATGAGGATGAGGCAAGACTGCAAAGAGACCTGGACAGGCTGGACATGTGGTCCAGAAACGGCTTCTCGAATTCTAACCCCCAATGCAAGAGTCAAGAAGGTTGGGAGAGGGCAAAGAAGACCGCAGACAGAGTATAGGCTAGTGGACAAGACTACAGGCCTAAACCAGGTAGGATCTGGGGTAACCATAACACCGACACGATCACGGAGGCACACATCAACAATAACGCTGCAGCAACGGGAGACTAAACCTGAGACATAGCGTTCTACCTAATAGAACGTTCAGACACTGTATACTGTGTATGTAGCCATACTGGAGTACGCATCACCAGTCTGGAACACACCTGGTCAAGCACGTCAAGAAGTAGGAAAGTACAAGAGTTGCAACAAAGGCTAGTTCCATGAGCTCAGGGAATGTCGTACAGGAAAGATTGAGGGAAATCGGATGACGGACACAGGAGGACATAAGGGCAGGTGACATGATACGTCATACAAGATACTGCGGGGAATAGACAAGGTGGACAGAGACAGGAGTTCCAGAGAGGGACACAGAACAAGGGGTCACAACTGGAAGCTGAAGACTCAGACGAGTCACAGGGACGTTAGGAAGTATTTCTTCAGTCATAGAGTCGTCAGGAAGTGGAATAGCCTAGCAAGTGAAGTAGTGGAGGCAGGAATCATACATAGTTTTAAGAAGAGGTATGACAAAGCTCAGGAAGCAGAGAGGGAGAGGACCTAGTAGCGATCAGTGAAGAGGCGGGGCCAGGAGCTGAGTCTCGACCCCTGCAACCACAATTAGGTGAGTACACAGCGAATCATGGTACGTGGCGAGGTGTCAGAGTGGGCGTCTGTGACGAACAGGGTTCCACAGGGGTCGGTCCTAGGACCGGTGCTGTTTCTGGTATTTGTGAACGACATGGCAGAAGGAATGGACAAGAAGTGTCCCTGTTTGCAGATGATGTGAAGTTAATGAAGAGAATTAAATCTGATGAGGATCAGGCAGGACTAGAAAGAGACTGGGACAGGCTGCAAGCCTTGTCCGGTAACTGGCTCCTCGAATTTAACCCCACCAAATGCGAAGGCATGAAGACTGGAGATGGGCAAAATAGACCGCAGACAGTATAGGCTAGGTGACCAAAACCTGCAAACCTCACTCAAGTAAAATGAGCTTGGTGCTAGTATAATACGGAGCACATCTCCTGAGGTGCCCAGTGGCCTGGTGGCAAAAGCTTTCGTCGCTTCACACGGTAAGGGTCAGGTTTCGATTCCCAGCGAAGGGGTGGAAACATCGGACGTGTTTCCCCTTTACCGGTTGTCTATGTTCACCCATCAGCAAAATGGGTACCTGGGTGTTAGTCGACTGGTGTGGGTCTCACCTGGGACAAAACTGACCTAATTTCCCCGAAATGCTCTGCATAACAAGGGGGCTTTCTATATATTAGTATGTCATTGATATCAATCAATCAAGTTTATTCTCTATAAGGATTACAATGTGGGGTTTACAGATTTTGAATATTGTGTGGTTTACACGTTTTAAAATACTAATTACAGAGGGGGCCCACTAGGACACCTAGCATGGCTAGGCATTTCGGGCAGACTTAGATTAATTCTAAACTTTAAATTATTACAGATTATGGTATTAAGGCTAAGTGACTACATTATAGTTTGTGAGTTTAGCAATGTGAATGCTTTTGTTTTGGCACAATACATAGTGTCTATATTGGAGTATCATAGGCAAACTTATGACTAGTTAGGATTCATTATTTTAAGATTAAGATTCGTATTTCTGTGTTTATAGTCAATGAGTGAGTAAGCGTAAGTGTGAACCACCAGGTGGTTTACATGTAGTTAGTTGACGGGGTGTATCAGGGAGATAAGATGTTTTCTAACTGTAGTTTTGAAAGTGATGAATGTGTCTGCAGTTCTAGAGTTTTCAGGTAGGGTGTTCCAGATTTTAGGCCCTTTGACACACATTGAATTTTTGTAAAGGTTTATTCGGACACAGGGAATGTCAGAGATGTTTGTGTCTAGGACTGTATACCTTGTACATGTACTTGTAGTAAATAAAGGTATTAGTAGTAGTAGTATAGATAACATGCTGCAGCATATGGGCGCCTGGAAAACCTAAGAATAGTGTTCCGAAACCTCATTAAGGAATCGTTTAACAACATTAAAAACTGTTCGCGTTACACCACAGAACACACTGTTCACCACACCACAGAACACACTGTTCACCACACCACAGAACACACTGTTCACCACACCACAGAACACACTGTTCACCACACCACAGAACACACTGTTCAACACACCACAGAACACACTGTTCAACACACCACAGAACACACTGTTCAACAAACCACAGAACACACTGTTCAACACACCACAGAACACACTTTTTCAACACACCACAGAACACACTGTTCAACACACCACAGAACACACTGTTCAACACACCACAGAACACACTGTTCAACACACCACAGAACACACTGTTCAACACACCACAGAACACACTGTTCAACACACCACAGAACACACTGTTCAACACACCACAGAACACACTGTTCAACACACCACAGAACACACTGTTCAACACACCACAGAACACGCTGTTCACCTCACCACAGAACACGCTGTTCACCACACCATAGAACACGCTGTTCACCACACCACAGAACACGCTGTTCACCACACCACAGAACACGCTGTTCACCACACCACAGAACACGCTGTTCACCACACCATAGAACATACTTCACCACACCACAGAACACACAGTTTGCCACAGCACAAAACACACTGTAATAAAGTTGGTATAATTACCGACAATATGTAAAGTAAAAGGACACAAGTGCAACTAATGTGACATTTATTGTGGCAACGTTTCGCTCTCCAGGAGCTTTATCAAGCCATTACAAACAATACATGGACACAGAGGGTATATAAAGGCTCAGAGTGAGGTGTAATACTAGTGAGGTACCATTTCGATGTTCACTAGTAGTAGTAGTAGTAGTAGTAGTAGTAGTAGTAGTAGTAGTAGTAGTGACAAAAGTAATACAATATGGTAGAGCAATTAATTCGTACATGAGCAAAAGCTTTTATATCCTTTTACTCATGTACGAATTAATTGCTCTACCATATTGTATTACTTTTGTCACTACCACTACTACTACTACTACTACTACTACTAGTGAACATCGAAATGGTACCTCACTAGTATCGCACCTCACTCTGAGCCTTTATATACCCTCTGTGTCCATGTATTGTTTGTAATGGCTTGATAAAGCTCCTGGAGAGCGAAACGTTGCCACAATAAATGTCACATTAGTTGCACTTGTGTCCTTTTACTTTACAAAACACACTGTTCACCACACCATAGAACACACTGTTCACCACACCACAGAACACAGTTCACTCACCACACTATGATCACTCTTTACAAAGTGAAGACAGTCTCTCCTTTGTGTAAACAGACCGCTGGTAGCTGGGCGAATAACAAGCCATTTCGTTCATCTCTTTCTCTCTCTCTCTCTCTCTCTCTCTCTCTCTACTTGTTAAACGTCTATATGACCGTGTTGTTTGTGTATATACCTCTTTAAACCCTTTATTACATATATCCCTGTGTAGATTATAGGACATTTATTTTATTCATAACAACTAACGAAGCCCATACGAGGCAATAATCTATTAAACAGCTTTATATGTAATTTAAAGAACTCGTCAGCTGCGATATAGGTAGCTCGTGGGTCGGCTCACAATCGAGAGGACCCGGGTTCGATCCTGGGACGAGTGGAAACACTGGGTCGTAAGTCTTTACACGTGTTGCTCCTGTTCACCTAGCAGTAAGTAGGTACCTGGGAGTCAGCCGACTAGAGCAGGTCGCATCCTGGGTAAAGTGGTCAAATAGGCCACCTTGATTGGTTTTCATGGGTTAATTCTTGGTAATTAACCATCCAAGGTTAATAATCCGAAATGTCTTTTTAGTTTCATCTATAGATAAAAAAGTTTCACTTTCTATGAAGGTTTGTTGCTGTCAGTGATGTTCTACGATGAATTTATTCATCTCGTGCCTTCGTTTCTCATTTAATCTTTTTCATTTCTTATCTACGTAACAATGGCAAAATAATTTTAAGAACTAATACAGAGTTTTGATGGTCAAAACAGTTCACTGCGATTCTCAAAATATTAAGATATATTTTTATTATTATAATATCATTACTCTTATTATTTAATTATGACACTAAGTGGAAGCTATCAAGCGCTTCATATACAATGACTCACTAATTTGTAGTGTCATCTACACAACTTAAAATACTCTTTAAACACTGTGTCCCTGGATCCACCTGAGGTGAGGTTAGCGTTACTTTGTTTACTGTGAGTAGCGTCCCTCTGCCAGCCTTCCTTGCCACCACTGTATCTCGCTGTTCCTCTGTGTGTTACACGTCTCTCACTCCGTCTGCTGTCTCTCCCCATTGATGAGGAGAGGGACATAATGTGTTAGGCTTCCCAACACACTCACTCACACGCAGACGCACACTACCAAGACACTAGTGGAATACAACTGCTGCTGCTGCTGCTGCTGCTGCCTGCCTCGGCCACCCCTACCCTAGACCCAGCTCAGCTGTGTAGCTGTTGTTGCCACACCCCACGCTATCACTCAACTTACACACCTTTATTATCATCCTTTCAGATCATACATTTTCTCCATGTATATTTTCAATTTATAAATTTTAGTTAGTGATACTCTACATAACTTTTTTATGATTCAAGGTGAAGCAGTGGCTGCGATTTCTGTGAGTAGTTACTCAGAGGAACGTTTGACTGGTCATGGTACCTCTGGTGATAATTCCTCCCTCCCTCCCTCCACCGTCAAGGAATCGACTGCTTATGAAGTCTGCTGCATGAATATTGTGTAAAATGAGAATATGTTATTTACACACATCCGCGGACACAAGGTGAATGCATTTATATATGGTCAGTGTGTACACGCACACAAAACTGCAAACGCAGATCATTCACAAGCAGCGACGAGGTTCAAATCCACGGTTTATGGATCCTAGAATTACTAGACCGGGACCTTAGCCCACTGCACTACAGAATGTCATGATCACCAACCAGGAAATTATTCTACCTGTAAAGGTACGTGACCTCCGCATTATTTAGTAATGGGACTGTATCTTCTTATGCTAAAAACAATGAGGATCTCGTAAATAAAGTTCTAATTTTTAACATGGACACTGATTTCTCCTCGTTAGTTTAGATGTCACAGCTTCGTTTACCAAAAATTCAGCAGATGACCTTCTGGACTTCATTACATAGACCAACTTACTCTTATTATTTCTTAACCACTGGAGAACTGCTTCATTATCACTCCAGATCACGGTTATTTCAGTAGTGAGATGATTTGTAGATGAATGGTTCAGAGAACCGACATGTTGATAAATTAGACACATGTACAACTCTTGGGTATCTTTATTGAGGAAACGTTTCGCCACACAGTGGCTTCATCAGTCCATACAAAGGAGAATCTTGAAGAACAGAAGGAGAATGAGGTAATCAGTCCCTCAACCTTGATGGACTGACCACATCGACTCAAGGTTGAGGGACTGATTACCTCATTCTCCTCCTGTTCTTCAAGATTCTCCTTTGTATGGACTGATGAAGCCACTGTGTGGCGAAACGTTTCCTCAATAAAGATACCCAAGAGTTGTACATGTGTCTAATTTATCATCAGTGAGATGATCAAGTACTTTGTTGAGATAGACAGCTAGTTTTGTACCTATATAGAGTGCTGTCAGTTCCAATTGTGGTACTGTTCTCACCTTCAGGGGTGCTACCCTGGCCTTTGAAGTAATTAGTGTAGTTCCTTCACAGAACCCATGTAATGTGTACTTGTTTCCCTCTTGACCTATTTGTCTGGGAAATTTAATTTGATGAGGTTGTTTAAACTCCGTGGATATTTCACTCCATGCTTGACTCATCCCATCCAATTTTGAGTTTCCATGCATCTTGCATAAGTATTTTACCTTTATGGACGATAATAAACTGTGCACGACTAGGGTCACAAGTGACATGGTCCTTAGGCAAATAGATAAATTAAAACCTAACAAATCCCCAGGCCCTGATGAACTGTATGCAAGGGTTCTAAAGGAATGTAAAAAGGAGCAATGGAGCTAGCAAACCTTGTGGCTAATCTTTTCAACATTATCACTCAAACTAGGCATGGTGCCAGATAAGTGGGGGGAAAAATTGCAAATGTGATACCTATTTTCAAAGCAGGTGACAGGTCCTTAGCTTCGAACTATAGACCAATAAGCCAACCTCCATAGTGGGAAAATTTATGGAATCAATAATTTGCGCGTGCAGTTCGTAGCCACTTGGAAAAGCATAAATTAAATCAACGAATCTCAGCATGGGTTTACAAAGGGGCGTTCCTAGCCGTTACGAATTTATAAACTTTTTTCACTAGGTATTTGAGGGGGGTAGATCATGGTAAGAATATGATATTGTTATAGGTACTTCAGTAAGGCTTTTGACAGGGTCCAACTTCAAGATAATTGATGAAAATTAAGGCAACATGAAATAGGAGAATTTTTTTCCTGGATAGAGCAGTTTGACAATTAGGCAGCAGAGAGTTTGCATAAATGGGGGAGAAATCAGAGTGGGGAAGCGTCAGGCGAGTGGGTGTTCCACAGGGTCATGTTGGGCTCCCCTATGTTCACAATCTACATAAACGACATAGATGAGGGCAGAAAGTCACCATCAGCAAGTTTGCTTCGATGACACCAAAATAGGCCGTCGAATTCATTCTGACGAGTATATAGAGCACTCCAAGGAAGATTTAAATAGACGATGCAGTGGTCGGAGAAGTGGCAATGCAGTTTAATATAGACAAATTGCAAAGTTCTAAAGTAGGACAGGACCAATAACCAAGCCACATATAAACTACATAATGTAGATTTTTAATATTACGGATTGCGAAAAAGATTTAGGAGTTTCTGGTTAGCAAGTAATCCTGAAACCAAGAACACAGTGCATAATGTTCAGCAATAAAGCTAAATAGAAGCCTTGGCTTCATATCAAGAAAGCATAAATAATGGAATCCTCAGGTTGTTTTTTTCACTCTATACACCCTTGTTAACCTCATTTAGTTATGCTGCACAGTTTTGTCACCGTATTACAGAATGGATATAAATGCTCTGGAAAATGTACAAATGAGGATGACAAAGTTGATCCCTTGTATCAGAAACCTTTTTCCTATGAGAATAGACTAAGGCCCTGAATCTGCACTCTCTAGAAAGAGACGTAGAATTAGAGATGATATGACTGAGGTGTATAAATGGAAGACAGGAATAAATAAAGGGGAAAGTAAATAGTGTGCTGAAAATATCTGCCTTGCGGGACCGCAGCAATTTTTTTAATTTGGGAAAAAATTCAGATTCAGGAAGCACCTTAAAAAGCATAAATTAATCAACGAATCCGAGGTTTTTTACAAAGGGGGGTTCCGCCTTACAAATTTTTAACTTTTTTCCCTAAGGTATTTGAGGAGGTAGATCATGGAATGAATATGATTTTGTGTATATGGCTTCAGTAAGGCTTTTGCGGGTCCCACATCAGAGATATTGGGGAAAAATTAAAGCACAGGGAATAGGAGGAGGTTTTTTTCCTGGATAGGGGCATGGTTGAAAAATAGGCACAGAAGTTTGCATAAAGGGGAGAAATCAGAGTGGGGAACGTACGAGGGGTGTTCCCGGGGGTCAGTGTTGGGCCCCGCTGTTACAATCTACATAAACGACATAGTGAGGGCATAAAGGCGACACGGCAAGTTTGCCGATGACACAAAAAAATGGGCCCTCGAATTATTTGCCCGGGACATTCGAGCACTCCGGGAAGATTTAAATAGCTGAGCAGGGGTCGGAGAAGGGGTGGCAGAGCTTTAATATAGAAAAATGCAAGTTCTAAATGTTGGACAGGACAAAAACCATGCCACATATAAAAAAATAATGTAGATCTTAATATTCGGTTGCGAAAAAGATTTAGGGTTCTGGTTGCATAATCAAAAACCAAGATAACAGTGCATAAGTGTTCGCAAAAAAAGTAATAGAATCCTTGGCTTCATATCAAGAACAAAAATAATAGGGGCCTGGGTTTTCTTCAACTTATACTCCTTGGGTTGGGCCTCATTTAGATTATGCTGAAAAGTTTTGGGTCCCCGTTTTACAGAAGGGAAAAAAAAAAATTTTTGGGAAAAATTTTCAAAGGGGTGACAAAGTTGATCCCATGTATCAGAAACCTTCCCTAGAGGATAGAAAAAGGGCCCCTGAAACTGCACCCTAAAAAGACGTAGAATTGGGGGGGGATATGTTTTGGGTGTATAAATGGAAGACAGGTTAAAAAAAGGGGATGTAAATAATGTGCTGAAAAATTCTAGCTAGACAGGACTGCAGCAATGGTTTTAATTTGGAAAAAATTCGATTCAGGAAGGATTGGGAAAGTACGGTTTGGTAATAGAGTTGGGGTGAGTGGAAAAAAACTCCCAATACCTTATAGAGGCCAGAACGTTGGTAGCTTTAAAAATGGGTTTGGGGAAAAATACATGAGTAATGTGGATGGGTTGAGTTAGACCTGATAGTTGTGCAACCAGGTCGGTGCCGTGTTCCCCCCCCTTAAGTCAATGTGACTGACTGACTAGGTTGGGGTGCTTGGGCTTAAGGGGGGTAGGAACTTGGCCCTCCCTCGCATGGGCCAGTGGCCCTTTCTGCAGTGTTCCATTTTTTCTTATTTCTTATGTTTTTTAATGGGAAAAAGTACGTTTGGAATAGAATTGTGGATGAGTGGAACAAACTCCCAGTACAGTTTAAGAGGCCAGAACTTGTGTAGTTTTAAAAAATAGGTTGGTTAAATACATGGGGGATGGGGGGGGGTGTGAGTTGGACTGATCTTGTGTACCAGGCGGTTACCGTTTCCTCCCTTAAGTCAAGGGACCTGACCTGACAGTTGGGTGCGTTGCTTCCCCGGTAGGAGATTTGGACCTGCCTCGCATGGGCCAGTAGGCCTGCTGCGTGTTCCTTCGTTCTTGTTCTTTGGAATTGGTGAGATGACCCCAGAGGACACAACATTGTGATACCTCGAAGAAAACTACGTTTCGTGAGTTGTATTGTATGATTTATTGTTTATTCTTTTGGCTCACAGTTCTTCCTGTGTCTTCCTTTAAATCCCACATATTGTTGAATCAGGAATTTCGTTTAGGGAAATCTTTGAAAATTTCCCCTTAATTGATTGAATTAGTTTTCCCAAACCCCTTTAGAGGCTATTTGCTCTTTCTTTCTTTGTTAATTCTCTGAAAAAGGGTTTTCAAATCCTCCTCTTTATTACAGTCCCTTTAAAGATTTCCACTAGAAAACTTTTTTTTAAGTTTCTTTGAAGGGCTTCAGATTTCTAAAAGGGGTTATTTTAAATGCTTCAGTAGAATGGAGAGGATTTTGCCCCAAATAATACTGATTTGAAAAGATAAGTTTTCACAGGACTTTGAGGACCAGGTGGTTTTTCGGCCAAGAATCGGTATAATCTCGTTATTTCTTGTAGACCTACTTTAAGAAAGCTTGGAAATATCACCCGTGTAGGCTTTTGGGTTTGTGCAAAATTTCAAAAACCCGCTCCAATTTTTCTCAGATGAGGGCCCCGGTCATCGACAATCTTT